CCCCCTGCAGATATTTATAAGCATTTCGAAGGTCCCCTCTCAGCCTTCTCTTCTCCAGGCTGAACAAGCCCAGCTGCCTCAGCCTCTCCTCGTAGAAGAGATGCTCCAGTCCCCTCACCGTCCTCGTAGCCCTGAAGCTGCCTGTCACACCAGATAGTCACACAAGCTCTGGAGGAGCCATACCCCCAATTCTGAAGGCAAGGTGGGGATGGCGAGAAGGGACGTCTTCTAACCTAGGCTCAAATCCACCTGGTGCACCAGCAAGGCCAGGAGTGCAAAGTGAGCTCAAACCTCACAAGAGGCAAGAACATGAGATAATGCAGCCCTGACTTAACCCTTTCATCCTAGGTTATGCACAAGCACACCTTCAGAGAACATTAAACAAGTTGCTATCTTAAGGGGGGGGGACAACCAGCAAACCTTTCCCAAGCCAATGTTCTCCCCGAAAACAGTCATCTACAGTACGTCAGCTGAGCTAAGACAATTCTCCTTCTCACACAAAGAGCTGAGCTGACCTACAACTGGTCATAGGCTAGGAGAACACTCAGCTGAGCCCTTGGAACTGTTCAACTCAACTGACCGAGCGAGGCCTGGCCAAACTCCCCTAGATGGTACAGAAAGAGCAGTGGCAAGGAGAGGACAAGGGAGCATAAGCAAGGTTCCTTACTTTGGCCCACCGCACTCTTCTGTTGACACCTTCACCACAGGCAGTGCCTGGGAAGCAACCGGCTCGATGGTGAGCGTGTTCTGCTCCACAGCCACTCGTACCAGCTCCGACAGCTGCGGCAAAGAGAAACGAGTGCAGATATGAACGTGCAAAGGTCACCTCCATAAAGGTGCAGCTTCGGTGCTGCCAGACCGTGCAGTCTTTGTCGCCCTTTTCCAGCACTCACCTCCTGCTTAGTGAAGTCCAGACAAGGTCCGACATCTTCTTGATAAATTCTGTCCAGGAAGGAGCAGGATTTTTCCAAAGTTGGAGATTCCTTCCAGGCCTGGAACTCAGCAAATAAAATGGAGTCGACCTGCAGCAAATGTCCCAGAGAAGCAGGCAGAGGGAAGGTGGGTGGAGGGAGAGATACCATATCAGAAGGCACCTGTTACTATGCAGGTAACCTAACTATGAAACACCTGCTTTGGCATCTAGAAAGGCTCAGACATCACAGAAGTGTCTGAAGGAAGCTGGCTTGCTCCAGCGATCTTTCACGTCCCACCCATCAGCAGTTCTGTGCCAGACTGGGCTTATTCTGCCAGAAACCTGGAGGCACCTCTCTGTCCCATCTTCCTCCAGGACAGGGCGGCACCTCTGCTGCGGGAAAGCCACCACAC